AAAATGGAAGTACCAGGGCTAGCGGACATTATAGAGAAAATCTGAGAGTCAGGAGTATTGCCTGGAGAGGAATGAAGACATGGCCAAACTGAGCTTCCTCCTTACAATGGAGGTCCTGAGAGAAACCATTTAATCAAAGGGAGAGGCTTGAGGGCAGAGGGTGCCTCCAGGATGTGAAGGCCAGGAATAGAGGGAGTTTCCAGGGTGAAGAGATCTCTGGGGCCATTGGGCATTGCAGAGAAAGTCCACCAGAATCAGGGGTAAAGCTAGGGAGGAATGAAGACATGGCTGGCCTGGGCCTTCTCCTTCAAATAAAGGTTCTGAGAGGAATCAGCCATTCAGAGGGAGAGGTGGAAGGGTTGGAAAGGACTTCTACTGTGTGAAGTCCAGGAGTGGAGTGAGCTTCCAGGCTCAAGAGGTAGTAGATGAGACATGATAGATGATGACTGATGGGATGATAACAAGAAAGACAATTGTCTATAACAATGAACCCCATTTATACTAGCTGTGTAAGGGAGGTGATGCAAGCCTGTTTTATAGATGAGGAAACAAAAGAGGTTAAGGGACTTGACTATAATTACTTCAGTGCTTCAAAGATCCATATTTTCGCTGGATTGGGCAGTTTCTTCAGAAATATATATTACAACCCCTCTACAACATAACAGATGGTCTTTGAGAGTTGCTGTGGTTTCCATATTTATAGCTCTATAGCTAACCTGGTGACAGGTATCACTGAACTTTGCTAGGCTGGTCACAGCCAAATTCTGACAAAGTCCGAAGAACATAAAGTCCAAGTTGCTAGCCCTGGATTAGCCAGCACTATTGGCTGTACTTTTCCAGTATGGAAGAGCCTGACAGAGCTCATACACAGATAGTAGGCTTTTTGTAGGAACCAGTCAGTTAAACACTACAGTGAGGCATTAAGGAAAGAATTTAGTGAAAACTGCATATATACAATACAGTTCCTACAAAGCGAAAGAGTGAGATTTGATGCTGGGTCTCTATGACTTTAATCCCAGCATTCATTTTTTCTGTAAATATATGTAATTCAAGGTAGAATTCAGTAAATGTCACACACGGGATTAAACTAAGTGTTAGACTAATGCAGACAGAAACAATCATCATTTTGACTTGGGATCAGGGTAGGAATCATGGAGGAAGTAATATTTCACCCTAGCCTCCAAAGACTGGTTTGATTTCCCTAAACAACAATCATGGGACTGGTGGTGAACATTCCAGGCAGAAGGAATGAACCTAGCAAAGATGTGGAGGCAAGAAAACACAATGAGGGTTCAGGGAAAGATCCAGAGTTCAATTTAGTTGTAGCACAGGGTACATGAAGGAAAGGACTGCAGAGAGGTAGCTGCAGAAGGAAGTTGGGACCAGATTATGGTGGGCTTTGAGTACTAAGCTCTTCCTTGGCTCTTCCTGCCAAGAGGGAGTAATGAGAGCATGAACCAGGATGGTGGCAGTTTTCATTCTAAAAGGATCTTGCTGGTTCCTGGCTTCATTTGGAATTGCCAATTAAGATGGTTCACTTCTCTTTACTTTAGTCCTCTCACTATCAGCCTCTTATCAGTTGTAGGTATTACAAGAACATTTCTGTCAGGCATAGCTGGCCTTAAATATAAAAAGAGTAGATGCCAAAGAGCATCCTTTACCCACTTCCACTGTACTTTTTCTTCCAAGTACATTACAGCTCATCCATCATGGTGCCTGAAATTCTACCATTAGAAATTTATTCTTTAATAAGTGGAGGATTTGCCTTCAGGCTGCTTTTAAAGCTGATAAAAAAGGTTATTTATGTTGCATCATTTTATTTTTCAATTCAATTCAATGAACTTCTTAAGCCCATCTCCCTGTTTGAGGGAGGATGTATACAATCCCTGTCCTTATAAAGCTTACAATCTAATAGAAGATGCATATATAGGTAGTTCTAAACACAATAACTCATGAAAAATAAATTATATTACAAAATAAAGTTCTTCTGAAATCTAAGAGAAAGATCATTATGGACAGGGTAGATGAGAGAAAAACTGGCAGGAGGTGGCATTTAAGTTGGACTTTAATGAATAGGTAAGAATTTAATTCCAAAAAAGGGGAGAAAGTAAATTCTAGGTATAGGAAGAAATGTAAGGAAAGGTATGGGGGTGAGAAGGCATAAGGAGTATTTGGGAAGCTGAAAGTTGTCCAGGTTGGCTGGAACATAAAGTAAATACAAAGAAGGGCATAATTTTTAGAAAATTAAGGTGGCATAATATTATAGTCACAGTTAAAAGCAACTACTTATTTTTATATAGAATTTTAAGGTTTACAAAGCACTCAAAGGCATTTGAAATGTACTCAGTGGGCAATAGAAATAGGTAGGTGGTGTTGTAGTGGTTAGAATGCTGGACTTGGAGTCAGGAAGACCTGAATTCAAATCTCACTTCTGTCTCTGGGTCTTTAGAAACAGGACATGCTAGGTGTGAATAGAGAAGGAATATGGAAAAATAGGATGGGAAAGCGTACAGAAGGGAGGTGGAAGGGTAACAAAGTCAGATTTCCTTTTATTCACAAATTTTCCAAAGACCTTTTCCACCCCTTCTTCACCCCACCCCCCACTGCTTGTGCCTTGCTTCTGATTTAAGCCCGGTTTACCTTGTATATATTTTGTATACACATAGTTGTTTGCAGTTGTATCCCCTATTAGAAAGTAAGCTCCTTCCAGGCAGAGGCTGCTTTTCCCCTCTTTCTTTATATCTTCAGTGCTTAGCGCACTGTCTGACACATTATAAGCCCTTAATAAATGTTTGTTCTCTTGCCTTCTTTGCCTTGCAATCAGAGTATTCTAATGTCTTAGGTGCATAACTAGGCACAGGGCTAGGTAGAAGTGGGGCCAGCCTGTGCTGTTGCCAACTAAAATTGGCCCCTTAACATTAACGTTACTGTAATGCAGTTGTCTGCTGTTTGAAAAAGAATCCCTAGTTACAGGAAATGATTTACAGGACACCAGACTCTGCATTTCAGAGGTCTCCTGTGTACCATAAAAAATATATTATAAAGGAATAATCTTTATCTGAACTGAAGCTGAAGAGAAAGAACACATGTCCAGCTGAGAGCAGCATTGAGCTTTTGTTCACTATGGGAAAAGTCCACGTTCTTCATCTTATTTGATTAACATTTTTTTCCTTGGCACCAGGTATCTAGTTAATATTTAGACACTATATACGTTTTTCTTTCAACTGTTGGACTTATTATATGATCAAACAAAGCTGGAGATGCCAGCTGCATTACCATGTTAGGCAAAAGGCAGCCCCATAAAGTACCCAGGCTCAGCTGGTTTTTGAAAGGGGCTTCGAAGGAGGCCACTCTCCCCTGGAGAGCTAGACTGATGGGCAAATTGTGAGTTCCCTTTCCATAAAGCTACCACAGGGATCCCCTACCCCAGGAAGGTGACCCTACCAGGGGGTTTGCACCGTTACTCTTCTCCTTCCTCTATCTTTCTCTAGTTCCTCAGAAAGAAGAGAGAAAAGAGAATTGTCCTTGTTTCTAGCTAATTCTTCATTCTGATGATCCTTTCTCTCACAGTAAAGGTCGATGTCCTAGAGCATGGTGTCTCTAGTACAACAAGAGTGTTGGGTACAGGCTAACTATATTGTAATTGGCCTTTTAATGTTTATCCTTGTGTTTTCTAGGGACGGAATCCAACCCACAGTGTATCTAAAAAAAGCCAGTTATTACGCTGCTTCATAACATGGTTCAACTGTAGTATCCTTTAGATTCCTAGTAATGGGGGAGGAAAACAACCACCTGTAGCTAGCCTAGGTATTCCTAGGGAGGTGAATAACGAGCAGGTTCCCTCTCCCAGGAGAGTACTGGGCCAGCAAAATTTCACAGCCCTGGACCAGGGACCAGGTGCGGGGAAGGACTGTGTAAAGTCTTCATCCTTCAAGGTTGGGGGTGGGGTGAGGAGAAGACAGCAATGAGTGCTAAGGAAGGCTAGTTTGAGAACAGAAACGAGGAAGGAAGCAAGTGGGAAAAAAATCAGGCTAGGAAACACATGCCAACAGAATGGAGAGAAATTCCTTAGGGGTGCGGTCCGGGAGGAATGGGGGGAGAGCTCAAGCCAGGGAGCCCCCTGGCGAGAAGAGACCGAATCTCTGACGCGCTGTCGGTAAGCTCCTTGGCCCTCGTGGCACGGGCCGGGGCCCCGTGCCATCCCCGTGTGCGCCCTGGGGACCTGGCGACATAGCAAGGGAAGGACAAGGTACCGAGAACTACAGGCATCCAGACTGGCGAAGACTAGGGCGGGGAAGAGAGACCCCAGGGCCGCCTCAGGTGAGGGCACGTAAGGCACGCCCCTTCCCCACCCGGTGCATCCCTCTCTGCCCTATTCCCGGCGCGCGTTCTGCTTTCCTCCCCTCCTTCCCGGGGATGCGCGTGATCCGCCCCCCAAGCCTCCCAGTGGCGGGCGGGCGCGCGCCCTGCCCCCCTCTTCCCCTCTCCTCCCTGCTCCTCTCCCGGCAGAAAGTTAGCAGCGGGGAAGGAACTCGGGGCTGCAACAGTGTGAGGCGGCGGCAGAGGCAGCGGCTGCTGTAGAGGTAGCAGCGGCGGCGGCAGCGACTGAGGAGGAGGAGGACACCGAACTGGAGACGGAGGCTGGAGCAGGTGCCACCGGCAGCGCAGGGAGTTTCGCGCGCCCCCCTCAGTCCCCTTCCCAGCGGCTGAGGGGGGGGTAGTGGGGGAAGCCCGGGGCCAACAACCGGGCTCCTGGGGCAGCGTCGGGAGGGCCATGCGGCGGGGCTCCCCCCAAGTGCAGCGGGACAGCGGCGGCGGCTGGAGGAGCAGCCGGGGCCGGGGGCGCATCGGCGTCTCTCCATGCAACCCGGGCGGCTCGGCGGCGGCGGCGGGGGCGGCGGCTGAAATCATGTCCGGGCAGCGCCGGGGGCTGCTGCTGCCGCCGCCGCCGCCGTTGCTGCTACCGCCGCCGCCGCCACTGCCGCGAGCGGGCAACCGCGATGGCCCAGTGGCCCGTGCCGCCGCCGCCGCCCACTACCTCCTCTAAGGGGCCCCCGGCGCGCAAGCTGCTCTTCATGTGCACCCTGTCTCTGTCCGTCACCTACCTGTGCTACAGCCTCATGAGCTGCTACAGTTCCCTGCAGTTCCCACTAGCGCTGCAGGAGCCGCCCGGCGCGGGGGAGCCCTCGGGCGGCCCCCCTCCCAGCCCGCCACTGCTGCCCTCCCTCCTGCCTCCCCGTGTCCAGCTCGGCCCCTCGCGCCCGCTGCCGCCGTCCCTGGGAGCGCTGGCCAACGCTAGCCGGAGGGAGCCACTGGACTCCCCCCAGGCCCCCGGAGACAACTGGGGACCGGGAAGCAGCGGCGGAGAGGGGGCAGCCAACCGGGACGCCTGGATCCGGACCCCCCTGGCCCCCACCGAGATGATCACGGTGCAGAGCGGGCTCTTCGAGAGGGACGCCCATGAGTCCAGCACCACGGACGAGGAGCTCACTGGCCGGAAGGGGGGCAATAGTACCAGTGGAGGAGGAGGGGAAAAGGGGGGCCCTGGCCCTGGCACCACTACCCCGGACTATGGAGAGAAGAAGCTACCGCAGGCGCTGATCATCGGGGTGAAGAAAGGAGGGACCCGGGCTCTGCTGGAGGCGATCCGAGTGCACCCAGACGTGCGGGCAGTGGGCGTGGAGCCGCACTTCTTCGACAGGAACTACGAGAAAGGGCTGGAGTGGTACAGGTAGGGCTAGGGGTACTGGCAAGGGCAGGGTGAGACGGGGCGGGACTGTAGAACCAAAGGAAGCCTGCTGACAAGGTGATGGGGAGAATGTGGAGAGAGGAAACAGCCCATTCTCTGTCTAAAGAGCAATCATCAACTTAAGGACTCGCCCCCTTTCCAGGAGCCCGAAAAATGTGGTTCCTTAACCTCTGTTAAGGAACAGCTTCAACCCCACTGGGTTGCCCTAGGGAGGGGGCACTGGGTAATCCTATCACTGGAGAATTAGGGATAGCTTAATTTTGCTGAGAGGTGAGAAGGGCTCCACTCGCATCTCGGCTTTGATTCTCCGAGGGTCAGGGCTGTGAATAGCACGGGCAGAGCCCGGGGGCTGTAGTTACCAGCTTGGCTAGTGCTGGGACCGTATTGCCTCCGGAGCCAGAGTCCTCTGTTCTGTTCCTAGCGCCTCTATGGACAGCAAATGTCTCTGAAACCAAGGCCCCCTTGCCCTTGGCTTTCCCTTCCTTTCCATTTTCAGTGTTTAATGACAAAGCCTTATTGTGGAATAGAGCTTAAAAGACTGGAAAAGCAGAAAGGCTTCCAGATTCACTGAGATCTTTTGAAAATTTCCCCAGACATACAGGCACCTGAGTTAAGGGAGGGCACAACTCAAGGTTTTTAGGTCGATTGGAAATAGAAAAGATGCCACTGAGAGTACTGTGTACTTCTGGCTTTCTGTTGTTAAAGACCCAAGATGTTTTCAACCCCCAGAGCCATTTCCTCTCCTCCTCTTGTGCAGAACAAACGCTGTTTATTTTGCGTTAGGGTGCACCAATTTCTGAATGACAGTATGTTACCTATGAGCTTTTATGTTGTGCACCTGTGCCCTTTCATGGGCTCCTTTCCAACAGATGGAAGCCCGTGTTATATGAGACTCCATATAAATTACTTTCTGCTGGTATCAGCCAATGATCGAGATAGATAAGAGAAGATGAGAAAGTTAAGTTCAGGTAAAATAAATTAATAATCCCTTCTTTATTATTGCTGATACCATTCAAAAGAACATCTTCTATTGTAGAAACCAAGGAGGAAAATAGCCTTTTTCTTTGTTCCTCTCTTTTCACCCTGTAAACCCGAGAATCTGAATGGCTGGCTCCAATTCTGTTACATTTCTATAATTAATTACAATTGTCAAATACAAACACAGGCTTGTCTGCTAAGGGGATGCTATCCTTTTAAAGAAACAAGTGAATAAGGAGCATTTATTTCTTGACAGGTGACTTTGGTGTTCAAATAAGCATTTGTCCCAGGCACTTACCCCAGCTTAAATTATGGATTTTGAAAGTTTTTTTTTAAAAAGATACAACCAAACTTCAGAAATATATGATAAATGTGTCTGAATTGTGATCAATTTATTCCACTTTTGAAAATATGCTGCACATTTAAAACTTGTGAGGGGTACATTGATGTGCAAACATTCTGGTACATTAAACTGAAACAGCAAATGTGTCTGTTAATGTCTTGTCAGTTTCAACAGAGAGAACTAATTGGAATATTTTAGGAGGCTTCAAACATCCCCTTCCTATCAAAACATAAAACAGCAAACCCCTAATTTAATTGAGAGGGGGCCAGTATTTACTACATTCTGAAGCTGTGCCTTCCAGAATGTGATGGTCATTAAGAAGGCATTAAGATGATTAGCCGGACGTCAGCCAAAGAAGTAACTACCACTATGGCTGACTCCTGGAAGTTGGGGATGTTTGAATAAACTACTAGTTGGTTCTGGAGATGGCTGGTTTCTTTTTGACATTGTTTCATTCTTCTGCTATATGGGGGATGGTTACCTTTCTTTTCTTTTTTCTCCTACTCCCCCAGCTGCAGTTTAAAACAAAGTACCTTTGGATGGGGATCTTTGGTATTTTGGAAGTTGGGTGTATATATATGTAGACAAGTTCTGACCTAGGGAGTGTTTTATGGTCACTCCAGGGAACTTTAACAAAGGCAAATGACCAATTGGGGGAAAGAAAAACAAAGGCCAAACCTTTCCTTATACATATTACTGTGCAGAAACCAGGAAAAGGGAATGAGGGTATTGTTATGTCTGCAGAGAATGTACTGGTCTGAGAAGCAAGTTTAAAAGCGTGGAGGAAGACCTGTAAATAATCTGGTTTGGAGCTGTTCAGGATGGATTGTGCCATATATGACAGGGTTTTTCTACTTTTTCCCATGCCCAGACCATGGGAAAAAGGTGAGTTGTTACTTCTGGCTTCCAGGAAATGGAAGCTATGTAAGGTGTCTGGTACTGGCATACTATTAGGATTCTTTTGAATTGTTTTGATGTTTACCTTCTTCTCTTTGGTATTGTGGGGGCAACAGTCATGTTGCACTAACAAAACAAGGCATACATAAATCTTTGTTGACCACGTTGTATCCCTGCTGCCTAGTATGATGTCTTACACATATGCCTGAAGATGGATGATGAATATTGGTAATTGACACCTCTGAAATTGGGACTCCTTTATACCTAATATGGGCTTATTCACAACATAGCCTTCTAATATTTCTGTCTTTGATGAAGAAAAGGTAGTTCAGACATGCTTATAAGCCTTTCCTCTGCTAGCCCTTTTCAATTCTGCAATTCCCCTGAAGAGTCTTTCCTTTCGCCGTATAGTTGGAGCTTTTTGGCATGAGAGTTGATGGTGTTAAGCCTTTTCAGAGAGGGATTCCCAAATCTGGCATCTCTATACAGAATCTGATGGTGAATCTTCCATTAACTCCTCCCACCCATTCTTCCTCCGTTTCTGTATAATGGATGATAATAGGAAAGGGAGCAGAGGGGCATCATTCTCATCTTGGCTGACAAAGAAACTGAGGCCCAGAGAGAAAAGCCTGCAGGGAAACCAGGAATAGAAATTGTGGCTTATGATTTCCAGTCTGGTTCACTAATCTATTAGGTTGTGGTATTTATAGTAAATGTAATGGTTTCTTCACTTGTACCTCTTATCCTTTTTGGAATCTTACAGCACCATTTACCTAATTAGAGAGCCACCTAATTATAGGTTGAGTTCCCCCACCTCTCCCTTCTCTGTTTTTATATTTTGCTTCTGTCACCTGTTAATTCTGTGGAGTGTTTCTTTGTTTTTGTATTTCAGAAAAGGTAAGCAGGGACACATTAATGATTGATCTCTGTGGAACTGGGTATTTTTTTTTTCTTCATACCCAGCTAAACAGCCCTACTATTTTTATTCACAGGATCACTCACTCGTATTGTTTTCTATTACATTGTTAATTTCATGCATTTTTGAAAATTATGGAGCTGAAAGGGAAGGACTTTAGAAACTCTGCTATGTAATGCCAGTATGGGAAATGGCTTTTTTAGTCTAATCTTTTCATTTTGTAGAGGAGAAAACTGAAACCCACTGACAGCAAGGGTGTTTCTCAAGCTCACTTAGCTAGTTAATGGCAGAATTATGACGGAAATTCAGGTCTCTTGATGCTAGGGCCAGTGTTCTTTCCATTATCCTCTGTTGCTTTGGCATTGCACAAGGGGATAGTAGACTGCTGAATTATTTAACAGTCTTAGAACAACAGAGAAGTGCCCTGAGTTCAAAAACAGCCTCTGATGCTACCTTTGTGACCTTGGGCAAGTCATCTTCCTAGATTTCAGTGTCCTCATCTCTCAAATGAGGGAATTGGACTGGAAATCAGGGAGGTCCCTTACAGCACTGGTGTCAAACTCAAATAGAAACGGAGCTCTGCAGGTCACATATTGACTTGGAAAACCACAAATTAGCATTATCTGTATTGCATTTTATATTTTATTTATTTTGTTAAAGGTTTCCCAACTCCATTTTAATCTGATTCAGTCTGTACATGGGAGTTTTTTGGGTCCCACTTGCTGTGGTGGCTATGAATTTGACACCTCTGCCTTAGAGTACCAGAGCTATGATCCCATGTAATAGGTTTTCTTGGATTGATATAGCGCAAGGACTTTTCATAAAGATGTATTAAAAAACAAACAAACACAAATGATAAAACCTAAATCTTTCAACACAGACCTGTTGCTTCTGGCTTCTAGAAGTTGGAACATGAACTTTCTTTTTGGTTCGGGGAACAAACAGAGGCACAAATGAACAAGGAAGGAGGAGTAGCTGTTGTGAATAAGGCTGTCCTGTTGCTCCTTTCCTCACACTGGGCCATAGCTTCTGTCTTTCTGCTTTTCTTTGGCTTCCACTCAGTTACTGAACGATAGGAAATGATTATAGATGGTTCAGATAAGGGTTGGACCATAACAGCCCTTTCAGTTCTAGGGTTTGACAAACCAGGGAGTCACTCTAAGTCATTTTCACTGTCAGTAGCTTACACCTAAATCCAACTGACTGTGAAAAGGCTGGCTTCGGAAACATCCAAATCAATTGTATTATCATAAAATCATGGAATTTTAGAGGTTTTGATCTTGATGCTGCCACTGCCTAGATAGCCAGTGTGGTGTAATGGAAAGACTGTGTACTTGGGAGTCAGAAATCCTGGATTTGAGTCCTATCTCTGATATTACTACCTCTGTGACTGGGGGCAAGTTATCTTGCTTCTCTGGGCCTCAGTTCTGTCATCTGTAAAATGGGGACAATAACTTGTGCTTGGGGAAAACCTTAAAGTGCTTCAAAATTGTGAGTTATTACTGACCTCTCTGGGCCTCAGTCTCCTCATCTGTAAAATGGGGATAATGATTCTTCCATTACTTAGCTCATAGCATTATGAAGACAGTTCTTTGAAAGTATTAAAGCCCTGCAGGGGCTGTGGGGATAGGAATTTTTTATTCTTCTCATCTTATAGCAGTTGCTTCATGGGATTCTCCCAGGAGTTCTCAGTGTGTATCACAGGGTTTTTCCTGTGCCCTTATTGCTCCTAAGAAGAATCTTTGTTTTTGAGAAACAAAGGCAGCACAGGGCTTTCCTGCACGAGCTCTCCAAGGACAGGCAGGCGTGTGACAATTTATATACTTTTTATGTCTTAGGTGGTACAGT